GGGGTCTTTTGTGTTGATCAAAGTAACAGCGCTGAAACCTACCAAAGGTAAGAAAGGCATTTTAGTGCATGATGTATACATATTACAATGGGTTAATGACAATATTGATTGACACAGCAGAAAGGATGCATGAATTTTTGGCCCACCTAAAAGAGTTAAATGACAGCGCCCAGCTGCCCTCTGGCGGGCGATTTGAGCTGCTTTATAATTTAGCTAATTATATAGCTGTTAGCTAATTCGATATTGTGTATTATCCTTTAATTTTTGCGAACTGTCCAATTAAGGATTAATTTGGATAGTTTCTTATTAGAGTTAAGTCACTCATTCCACGTTAAGTAGGTAAAATGTGCCAAGGATTTTCGAAAAATCGAAGGTCAACAAATCAGACAAGTAGTTAGTTTAACCGAAAGATATATTATTGAAGGGTGAGAAACCAAAATTTAGTCAACATATCTTTTATCTATAAAAAGTTATAGCCTGTTATTTAATAGCATATAGTGTGATATTTTGTATGGCTTGAAACAGCACAGTGTTGCATCATATCTATGTTTTTTTCAATTTAGCGTACTCTAAAATGTTTAAAATGAAATCCGTGGCAGGCTAAGGTCTGCGTTTTACATTTGAGTCAAGTCAGTGGCTCAAGGAATGAAAAAGTCAAGTTGTTCTGCCATGGTGTACTTTGATCTGACGTAACAAAATATTGAGAATTTAAAATTGCTGCGTTTTTTTTAATGTTTTTTCTTTAAAATAGCCGTCAGACTAAACATTGTTTCGCTAAATGTGTAGGAAAGAAAGTGTTGTTTACCTGTATTATAGTTTGGAAACATGTGATCCAGTAGAAAACGAGTGATTATCAAATAAGTTTCGGTAATGGATGTTACAGAAGGAAGGTAATATTTCATTTTTCTTCCAACTACTCACTTTTGGGATTACAGACTGTCTTAAATAACAATGCATATGACTTATTCTATTGAATTGAATTAATGCTTAACAAATTTGGAGGAAATTTTGGAATTTTTGGGTGGAACGAGGCTAAAAAGAAGAAAATGAGCAAAATAGATTGAATTGAAGGAAAAAAAATTAATAGATACATGGTAATCTGTTAGAATTTATACAAGAATTGTAGTACATGAATATTGTAAAGTCTATTCACAGAAAAGAGGGTGAACTAGCAGAAACAGCTTCAGATAATCCACTTCCTGTTTTGTGTAACCTCCGTTACTTTAAAAAAAAAAAAAAAATTAAAATGATCAAGAAGCCTGTCCCATTTTCATCTTGTATTCTCAAATTGCCTAGAAATACTTCAAAGGAAAATAAACTTCTTTAAACTATGCAAAAATTCTCTGCGAACCATAAACTCAGCTAAAATTCCCTTATCACACTTGACAGAGAGGTATCTCACCAATGGAACACGTATGAGGGTTACTTATTACGAAATCTTCACCAGATGTTATCCAGGCTTGAGTTATTTGATGGGGCGATCGTGTGACAGCATTTGCTGAAATTTACCTGACCTTTATCCCATGTTTTAAGAGGCCAGACAAATTCCTGGTAATGGAAGTTACAGTAACGGAAGTTAAAATTCTACCTTTTCTGTTACATCTTGAAGTGAAATTAATAACTAGGAAAATCAAACATACTCCATAATAATCCTCAGTAGCTCCTCCGTCACCACAAAAATCAGCACGATCCTCTTTTCATTTTTTCCTAGTGTAATCTTAGTAACGGAAGTTACAACCTTAACTGTTCACGCTAAATCTTGCTATTGTGAGATGCAATTTCTTTCCACAGGCTTTTGCTCTTCATTTTATGTATTGCGTATCGAAAAGAGCAAACTTAAGTAATATTTACCTGATATAAATCATTCGCAATATTTATTTCTAGGCCATTTGAGATCTGCCCTCAGATCAGTAACGGAAGTTTCATAAAAATAGCGGACACCAGTTCACCGTAGTTAAAAGCAACAAAACTGACCTGCAGTGAGAAATGANATTTTATGTATTGCGTATCGAAAAGAGCAAACTTAAGTAATATTTACCTGATATAAATCATTCGCAATATTTATTTCTAGGCCATTTGAGATCTGCCCTCAGATCAGTAACGGAAGTTTCATAAAAATAGCGGACACCAGTTCACCGTAGTTAAAAGCAACAAAACTGACCTGCAGTGAGAAATGATCAATGAGGACTTAAGTTTAGGCCCCTCCCGAGACATTGGATTGATTAGTTTCCACAGTATGAGGCGAAAAGCACAAATATACCGTAACCTTCTATACCCACCCTCTCTGCGGACATAACAAAATTGCATTTTTTGGACACTTTTGGCCTTGATTCTCTCAAAGTTACTGTCTACAGGAACACAAATGGGTACTGTTGCTATTTATTTGGGCATATTTTAAGTATTTTTCAGCGAAATGATTATGGGAAAACATTTTGAGTCCCCAAAACTTGCCATGGACACCAAGAAATGGTAATTTACCGAGTACTGATAGTGCTGAATGGGGTTAAGCACTAAAATAGTGATTAAGGTTCGATATGATTAGCTTCTTTTTAGGGTTTACTGCACTTTTCACAAACATGCGAACTCTAAAGTTCAAAAGCCGCATTCACAACTGCTTTTTTCGCTGCCGTCAATCATAATTACGATCACAAGCAACAAACCTTGAAACACAGAAACACGCAAAACGGATCGAAATCCACCAATCACAAATCACAAACCTTCAGCTTTTGAACCCGTTTAAGTAAGTTTTGTTTCCTAAGAGGTCCGTTAAGATGATTGACGGCAGCGAAAAACGCAATCATCAGTTGGCTTTTGAACTTCAGAATTCGCATGTTTGTGAAAAGCGCAGTAATAGGGTTTTTTTCTATATTTAAATCAGTCTTGAGTTAAAAAACTGGGCTATTATATTTGGACATCAGTTGATGTGAAAAATTTTAGAGCTTTTGAAAAAGATTAATAGCATGACAGTCTCTTGAATGGAGACTTAAAAAATGGTAAATGAAGCATGACCCAGTCTGCAGAGTGGCAAGTGCATGCACTAGCCTTTTCTCGTAATTCTTTTTGTACACACCAAATTTGTAGCAATGCACACGGCAGCACCATGCGTAACAAGAGATTTGCACCTGACCTACTGACCTGTAGGGGAGTAGCCATGATCTTTTTGCCAATCCACCCTAACTTGTAAGTTTAACTCATTGGATGGACAGGCAGTTAGGTCCCAACCTTACAGTTGAAGTTTCATTTGTTTCATTCCAAATTAAGTATCAGGAAGTTGCATAAATGTTCTATTGTTGTCGTAAAAGCTTAAAATACATGTACCTTAAATTTGTTTAAGGTATCAGAAGTGCCATAAAGTCAAAAACTGATCATGCTTATAAAATGGCTTACTTGAAATGTACTCTTTAACCTGAACTCAAATTCCAAAAATGAAGCATTTTCATTGAATAGAAGCCAAGAAAACAAAGGCCAAAGTTGGTATCTGAGAGCACTATTTTGGAATTATATTGCAATTTTCACAACCTGACACGTGATAAAGCATTATGAGTTTTAAGTAAGTCAGGGCAAACTTACAGCAAAATTCGCTTACATTCTGCTTTACCAAATAAAGTATGATTATTTTGATATTTCTAAATCATTTCTATGGCTGTAAAAAGCCTTCTCGAGAAACCTTAGATATATGATCCTTGCAATGTCGATGACAGATAAGGCTGTAGTTAAGTGACCTATTATGCAAATTAGCACGTTGCTAAGGCTAAAACATTGTTTATGAAGCCGTATTAAGAGTACGTCACATAACGAATTCAAACAAAGATTTACCCTTTTTCTCGCCACTTTCCGTGCTACAATTGGGTCAGTGTCACAACAAATATTAAGAACAGCGGTTTTCTCGTAAGAATTCAAGATGACGACTAAGAAAACAGCGCAGCGCAACGAAAATTATGGGCTAATGAAGGGCAATTCTGCAGCTGCGTTGGACCGCACTCAAAACAAATTGATGTAAAAAGATGATGATTAATAATACCGTGCTAAAACTTGCCAGGTTTATTCACACGATGTCAAGGAAAGATGTATTAAATTCCTGGCTATTCCTGGAATATTTTGGAATTTTTTTGGCTGCGTGAAGTCACAGGGCATTACAAAAAAATTTCCACCTCTATGTCTCAGGAAAAATTTACTGGCTACTGCCGAGAATTTAAAGGTAAATGAATAATCTAATTATAAGTCAGTTCCAATTTTTTTTTATTCCTAGCTATCAAGAGAAAGCCAGAAATATGGAATTATTGAATTTTTGAGCCAGCAATATAAATCAGAAATCACACCTTAGCTGTGAAAACTGACACCTCAAATATCAATTTTCTGAAAGCTCAGCTCTCGCTTGATAGACCTCTGTAATTTTTAATTTGCCAAATTCTTTGCTAGAATTTTGAGAAATAAAATTTTCAAATGGAATGGTTCTTAGCAGATCTAATACCTTAAGTTTCAGTTTGTGAAATTGCAAAAATTAAGTGGGTTATTCCAAAATTTGCAAAAAATTGCTCGATTATAATATTCTGATGGAAAAAATTACCTCTGTAAAATCGCTTGGAATATTAATTTTATTGATGTAAATCTACGGTGGCAAATGCACATCAATAAATTATCTAAAAAGGTTGTGTCCCGGATAGGAGCAATTAAAAGAATGAGAGATTTTGTTCCAACGCCTACTCTCCATTATATATACAACACTCTCATTCAATGTCAATTCAATGATATTGATTGTAATATTTTCTGGGTAAACTTTCTTTGACAGGCTACAGAAGCTTCAGAACCGTGCTGCTCAGGTTCTAACCTTTTCTACATATGATGCTGATGCCAACCGCTTATTTGGACAACTTAATTGGAAAGACTTGAGCACTCAGTTTCAAATACAAAAAGCCCTAATGGTTTACAAGTCTTTAAATGATCTTGTTCCAGGATATTTATCCTCTAAATTTGTTAAACGATATGAAACGCGCTACTCTCTAAGGGACTCTGTTAACAAACCAATATTTATTGTCCCATTCCCGCAAACTAACTTCATGAAGAACAGCTTCAGTTACAGTGGAGCAGTTCTCTGGAACAGCCTGCCCACTGTGACATGAGAGAAGCTAAATCTTTAAGTCAATTTAAACGATTGGCACATCTGAATTTCTGAAGAATAAAGAATTTTTCTTTCTTTCTTTTCTTTCTAAATCACAGGGGCTCATTTTATGGAGGAGGGGGGTGGGACAAAATTCACCCCTCCCCCACCTACTTTTTGCATATACATGTACCCAGCATCTTGAAAAGTTGCCCCTGTTATATAGTATTTGTTATTCAGCTGAATTTTTAAGGATTCGGAAGATTTAAAAGGTAGCAGAATAGCAACTTATCAGCTTTTTTTAAGTCTGAGCATTCTTTTAGCTGGGGTGGGGGGCTAGGGTACTCAGGGAGTGGCTAGCTGGGTATTTGGAACCAGAAGCAGAAGGTTGAGTCATTTCACTAATAATATTTTTTGCCTCAAGTTTTTAAAATGACATTGAAAGTTTTACTTATAATATTTCCGTTTCTGGTGAAGTGTCTTGCAAAATCACTCACTAGAGAAAGAGAAAATAAAATTGCATAAAAGCTACATGTACATTAGCCTGAAATTCATCTGATTGCTTCGAGTCGTTTTTTCCTCTCAACAACTGAGGGAGTAATAACAACTCGAAGTAATCGGAAGAAATTCAGGGTACATGTACATCACTATACCGGTAATTTCTTAGACCAATTCTCTTGACCTATGAAATGTATGAAATCATTAACTTATTATAAAAATAATGAATAATAGATTCTGTATTGTCATCATTGTCATCTGCAGTACGTAAGTTTTCTTTGCTCCTTTTTTTTTCACTGTAAGTCTCACCTCAGTAACCTTACTAAGTTTAATGGCTTTCATTAAAAACTATTGGTAGCATTTCCCATTCAACTGCAAGCACTTAACGTCGCACCAAACTCCAATTACATTACTACAAAGCAAATAAGGAAACCAGGGTGCACAGAAAATCATTTCTACAGCTTGCCATTGGGGCAAACTGAAGCTAGTATTTACTAGCCCAGACGTCATTTCAACTAGCCCCAAAAGCTTTGACTAGCAGAATTGATTTCACAGTTCTTCTGTTATTCGAATTCCTCAAAAAACATCACTTGTCCATCGGGCAAGTTAAAAACAGAATTCACCAGCGCCGGGCTATGGGACACTACTTTCTTTGCTCGCTGGAAACTAGCTTCTCCAAATTAATAATTAACTCTTTGCAAATTAGTGAGTTTATCTTGAATGTTTGTTTTCCATTTGGTGGTGAAGCTGATTATCATATATGATGTACAATTATTGATTGGTTACTTGTGCTAAATAGGGTGTATGGCAGCCTCCATGAAATTAAGCTCTGTATAGATATTGTTACATAAGGTTTTTTGCCTAAACTCTGGAATATTTTTTTTACCAAAAGTTGAAATTTTTAAGTACAGTTTTTGCTGTTTAAGTTTTAGACATGTTGAGACAACCTTGAGTACCTCGAGTAGCCTCCTCTATGTGACAGTTTCTATTTCGCTCTTATTTTATTGGTTATTGTTTCAGTAACTCTTCATAGTGAAACCTTGCCCCGTATCCTGCAAGCAAGCTTTCTGGGGATTTGGGAGGGGAAAAACAGTGTTCGACACTAACGCTTGCCCACTTGCCCGGGGCAAGTAGAATTATGCGTTGGGCAAGTGTGTAAGCTGCACAGGTTGCCCGTTTGGGCAAGTGGTTAAGGATAACACTCGAGCCGCTGGGACAAGAATAAAATCCAACAGCTGCAGCAAAATCACCTGATCCCTTTTTTGAAATTTTAGTCAGGTGAACATAGAAGGAGAATGAAAAACAGGTACAGTGACGGGTCTTACGCCGATACATTGAGTATTTCGTTTTCCGCCATGTTTTTCTTCACGAGCAAGTAATCATGGGTTGGTTTGTACCCAGTCCTCTCACGTACTTGCCACGAACTACCAAACAAACAAAGATGGCGGCCTGATAAGCAACCATGAGTTTATTTCGTTTTGGTTTTACGCGGAAGTCACTGGACACAGTCACTAAAAGTGAGGACATCCAAGCAACACAACAGTTAAATTCTACAAAGCTTAAGGAACCAGGAGACAAGAGAAAAGCTGAATCTCAACCAGAAGTCTTTGCTGGGAAAAGCAAACGAGATCGAAAATACCAAACGTCATTGGAGCGCGACTTTCCTTGGCTTTTACACGATGAAGAAAAGAACACCATGAAGTGCAAAATTTGCTGTTCTTTTCCCGAAATTGCTGACAAATCTAGCTCCCTGTTCATTGGAAACGGTGCCTTTAAGCGTACTACCATTCAGGCCCATGCTAAAAGTAAAACTCACTTCAAGTGTTTTGAAGCAAACTCTGCTCGGGAAAACCTAGGTGCCGCACCTTAAGAACAGTGCTACGAAATATTAATGCACAAGTCAACGAAAAACTGCAAAAGCTTTTCAACAGTGCCTATTTTATAGGCAAATTTTTTAATAGGCAAATTTATTATTTCCTCAAAGAGTGAAGACAAACAAACCAGAGAGAACAAAGATTCAATTATGACTGTATTATGCACTCTATCAATCAACGTCTTTAAGAAGCCCCCAACAAAAAGCCTATCATATGTATTGTAAACGTCATTCAAGCATGACTGTGTTGATTACAATGAAATAAAGTTTAAATTTTTTACGGTTAGCAGGCAATGGTACCGTATGACCTCTCGCCTGGGATTTATGCCAGGCATTAAAGTTAGAAGGCACAACTATTGAAAGTTCAATGAAACTGCGAGCAAAGCGAGCTGGTGATTTTTTTTTTGGCAACCAAAAAATACACTCGGCAAGTAAAACTAGCGACATAGTTGCCCACAGGGCAAGTTAGCAGGAAAATTGATACGTTTTCATGTATAAATAAAGATTGGTGATGATGATGTTGCAGTTTAGCTGAAAAGTAGTTTTTGATGGCAAATTACTGACATATGATGGCAAAACATGAAAAAAACTATATTTTGTTTTAGTCGTTTTTATTGTGTTTCAAGGTTCTGCTGGTGATCATGGCCAGGTTGCATAAAGACTTCTTAAGATAAGAGGGCTCTTAACTCATGTTTTGAAACAATAACCTAAAAGCCGCAATCTTAAGAAGTTTTATGCAACCCGACCCATAACTACAATTGGAAGCGGCAAAGAGCAAAATTGTAAGCTGCAATTTAAATTTCAAAGTTTGTGTGTTATTGAAAAGTAGAGTAATCTAGCTGGATTTAATGCTTTAAGAAAGTTGAAGAATAAAATGTCTTTATTTTATATTGATAGGGTGCAAAGGAAGCTGCAGTTCATGTCTTTAAAGTGTAAACAGTGTGCGAAATGTTTTAGCCGAGCTGGACACCTAAGGAATCATGAAAGAGTTCACACTGGGGAAAAGCCCTATGAATGTAAACAGTGTCGCAAGTGTTTTAGCGAAGCAGGATACCTAAGGAGCCATGAAATAGTTCACACTGGGGAAAAGCCTTTCGAATGTAAACAGTGTGGCAAGTGTTTTAGTGTAGCAGGAAACTTAAGGATTCATGAAAGAGTTCACACTGGGGAAAAACCCTATGAATGTAAACATTGTGGCAAGTGTTTTAGTACAGCAGGAAGCCTAAGGATTCATGGAAGAGTTCACACCGGGGAAAAGCCTTTCGACTGTAAACAGTGTGGCAAGTGTTTTAGTGTAGCAGGAAACTTAAGGATTCATGAAAGAGTTCACACTGGGGAAAAGCCTTATGAATGTAAACATTGTGGAAAGTGTTTTAGTACAGCGGGAAGCCTAAGGATTCATGCAAGAGTTCACACTGGGGAAAAGCCTTATGACTGTAAACATTGTGGCAAGTGTTTTTGCCGAACAAGAGACCTAAAGAGACATGAAAGAGTTCACACTGCGGAAAAGCCTTATGACTGTAAACAGTGTGGCAAGTGTTTTAGCGAAGTAGGAAATCTAAGGAGGCATGAAATAGTTCACACTGGGGAAAAGCCTTTCGAATGTAAACAGTGTGGAAAGTGTTTTAGCCGAGCAGGAGACCTAAGGATTCATGAAAGAGTTCACACTGGGGAAAAGCCTTATGACTGTAAACATTGTGGTAAGTGTTTTAGTACAGCAGGAAGCCTAAGGAGGCATGGAAGAGTTCACACTGCAGAAAAGCCTTTCGAATGTAAACAGTGTGACAAGTGTTTTAGTGTAGCAGGAAACTTAAGGAGACATAAAAGAGTTCACACTGGGGAAAAGCCTTATGAATGTAAACTGTGTGGCAAGTGTTTTAGTACAGCGGGAAGCCTAAGGATTCATGCAAGAGTTCACACTGGGGAAAAGCCTTATGACTGTAATCATTGTGGCAAGTGTTTTAGCAAAGTAGGAACCCTAAAGAGGCATGAAAGAGTTCACACTGGGGAAAAGCCTTACGAATGTAAGCAGTGTGGCAAGTGTTTTAGCGAAGCAGGAAACTTAAGGCGCCATGAAATAGTTCACACAAGGGAAAAGCCTTATGAATGTAAACAGTGTGGCAAGTGTTTTAGCCGAGCAGGAAACCTAAACAGTCATGTAAGAGTTCACACTGGGGAAGAGCCTTATGAATGTAAACATTGTGGCAAGTGTTTTAGTACAGCAGGAAGCCTTAGGATTCATGGAAGAGTTCACACTGGGGAAAAGCCTTTCGAATGTAAACAGTGTGGCAAGTGTTTTAGTGTAGCAGGAAACTTAAGGATTCATGAAAGAGTTCACACTGGGGAAAAGCCTTATGAATGTAAACAGTGCAGTAAATGTTTTAGCGAGGCAGGAAGCTTAAAAAGTCATCAAAGAGTTCACACTGGAGAAAAGCCTTATAAATGTAAATACTGTGGCAAGTGTTTTAGTCAGCGAGGAAGTCTTAAGAAGCACAAAGACGTCCACAGTGGAAAAACGTCGCTTAAATGTGACAGTAACAAACGTCCGGTTAAACGTTTGCATTGTAAGCGTAAGAGAGCAGGAAGTAATAGAAGGGCAGGATTTACAAACACCACACTGTCACAGAGAGAGACTAGAAACAGTGGTATGGAAGACCAGCAATCAGGCATCATTCAGAAACACAGCTGCTGGATTTGTCAAGAGGTGATGAGTAGTGAATCCCTTCTTCTTCAACATTATGAAAACCATATGAGTTATGTAGCTGAAGATGTTTCAGAAAGTTGAACGCTTCGGTCTTTAGGAATTGTTAATTAATTTCGTTTCGGTTTTTAAGGTTTTGCTTTTTTAACTGTGACTATTATCTCCGATGTCGTTTTGTTACCTTTGATTTGTCGGTTGAGTTGAAAAGGTCCGATTTGAGGGGAAAAGTGTTGACGTCAGCGTTACTATCCAGGCCTATTTTAGAAGGATTTGTATTGAACTAATCGTGGACTATTAGTGTAGCGTAAAAGTTCGGATAGGTAAGTTGGTGCCAAGCCATTTAGACATTTGTAAACTAAGAGTAAAGTTTTAAAAAATATGCGATAACCCAGCGGCAACCAATGAAGTTTGAACAGGATAGGAGTGATATGGTCAAACCGCTTACATAATGTAACAATGCGTGCAGCAGTGTTTTGTATCAGTCTTAACCTGTTTAACAGGTGTTTAGGAAGACCATATAACAAAGATCTAGAGTTACAGTTATCGAGTTTAGAGCTAATAAACGCATGATTGCCTCTGGATTGTTAACAATCCAGAGGCCGCTCAATAAGGTGACTTTAATATCTGGACCTGTGAGGACTTTTGACTTTGTCTCTTTGACGACGTATCCAGCAAATGTTAGGGTATGCGCTTGAATATCACATCAAGTTTTTTTTGTACA